ATTATTGAGTAATACAGTTGTCAGAAATCAAATTTTAGAATGAATAGGGACTTTATATATAAGATTTGAAGGAAGGGTTTGAACCTAAGGAAAAGGGGTGTGAATTTAGCAATCCCCTATAATAATCGATTATTTCTACGGTGTCAGTTTTTCTTTTTCTCTACTGATTATCTTGACCTGAACTTACAAGGATCACTGAAGACCATTTTCCAAGTACACGAAACTTTATCGTACCATTTGATCATGAACCCACCCACGGCTGGTGGAGATCGAATCCAATATGGCACATAAATACCTGCACACTAGGGATCGGTCTGCCGTAGACAAAGGATGTTCAATAAATTGATTCAGTGCAAGCAATTGTTGCTCTATTAAATTATTTTTGAATCGACTTGTCAAATATTCAACATTCGACGAAATTACAAACGATTTCATATGAATATACCATCTAGACCTGTATCAAAACCGCGCGTCGATATTCACACTTCCAGATCGGTCGCAAACATCCCTGACCTTTTTCGAATAGCCATAATTGTTAAGTGACGCTATTAGTCGACTTGATAAGGCGACACGTACATACTACCGTCGCATCCCATCATCATGTACCTAGTTTTCGAAATGTTGGATTGCATTCGCATACTGATCAGCTGTTGATCAGAGTCGACTCCGCATCAGACCTTCATCCAAACATATCATCGACGGATATTTTTCCATTTCATTTAAGGTCGAATCATCGATTGAACATCCCGATCCGGATGTCTTTTTGCTTCACATTTTGAACCGATCCGTCGAATAGTTTATTGCCGATTTGGCAGTGTCTCCGGTGTTATTGCACTTAAGGTATTCAAACATCGCATGATCTGATGATGACACCTTAGTAGGCACACCTCGCACCGATCTGCGTTCTATGTCGATTGTACCGGACCGTTTCGGACCCATTGCTGGTCTCTGTGATGACCACGCTTAATTTGAAAGCCTCACTTCACCACAAAGACAACTACACATACAGTAGATGTGTCAAGAGACAGGTAATTTCTTAAACTAGAGTCAACTCGCTATGCGTGCTCATTCAGCTTGGTCCGGTCAAATTCCGTTTGAAGCGCGTTTCGTCAACGTGTTTCTTGACAAACTACGAACTAAAGGAGCGTGAGACGGATCAAATTGGCTATATGGTACATTTAAAGGCGTCTCCACTGAAAACGTATAGGCTTGTGCACCTAAATGCATGTACTCTGTTGTGTGTGAGTACACGCAGACAAACGAACAGTGATGATTTGTTGTTTGATACAAAGAAGACATCTTGAATACCTCTAAAAGTACACAACATCTGATATGCCCGCAATAGTTATCTCTACTTGCAATAAATATTTCGACTACTTGCTCACACCTAAAGCGGGCGTCCAGGTCTACCTCAGTATGAGTGTTGTACGACATCAACTGCCGCTGGATAGTAGTTGTAAACGGTAGTTCGTGGCAGCAGATGACGACACACTGCCCTTTCGTCTCTGAGGTCATATTGTGAGATGTTGTCCGTTATGGATAACGAGACGGGACCACCCCGTCCCGATAAGAGACCCATCCGGAATGCCGTGTGTTTTATGACGTGCGAAGGGGATGTATGAAGCCCATCCCAACTTTCGGCTGCTGAAACCTGATTGTAACAGCCTAATGTAGCACCTTTTGTGCTCGCATCCGTACGTGTGCCTTGCACGATTGTAGCATCTTCAGACGCTTGGACTGCATCCTTCCTCATCGTCCGTCCTTCGACCTTCAACTTTCTGTACTTTTCTACCGCAGAAAGTGAGTGCGGTAATCTATCGACATGCGCTGCCGAAAGTACACGGCTTCGCTTACAGTGCAGCAGCGTGCCAAAGATTGGTGTAGCTTGTTGCATTTCGCATAAGCTCGCTATCTGTAACTGCTTCTGGGTACACTTCGTGCAACTGTTTTGGCTTCGTATCACAGCTTGCAAAAAGGTCTTCTTTTACCAAGTTGTCTATGTTTTCAAATTTGACCTCAAGGTATCGATGTGCTTCCTTTCCGGGGTAAAAGGCAGCTACGGCCTTCATTTCCAGCACCAGTATCCTAGTTTGTTTTTTTACACAATGATAAAGGGACCACAAAAAATTCTTACCGCAGCGCGTAAACACTCTGATGGTTTGTTGATCAAATTGTTTTCGCGTTGCAGTTCAAAAATTCTGGTCATGCCTTATCGTTGCAAATAACTACGCGTAGTCGTATCGTAGTCTTGTTGCGGGTCCACGGCAGCCGCACGCATTCGTGTTGATGACACTAACTTGATCAGCTACACTGACGTTTGTGCTTAAGCGAAACTGGTTGCATACTCGAAGCGCGAAAAAAGAGCAAGTCTTGAGTCTTTCTGCCTACATAGGAGCCCGTGCCGCCTTCATTCCACACATGCTCCTTTTCCTTCCACTCTTCGTGGACTACTGTGAGTCACTACAAAGGCTGTAGATTCTGCATCGTTTGCTTGCACGCACAATGGCTGGTGCACGCTAGACTGGCAAATCAAAGGATAGTCTGTTTGGGATATGCTTCGGCGTCTCGTTGTGCGAAGCGAGCAAACTGCATAGTGGCATCCTCACTACATACGGCCGGGCGAGCAACTCATCTCCACAACGTCTTGACTCACTTGAACCGCACTAAAGTCCACGCGCCACCGCTCTGTCTTTCCAGCGTCCAACACAGCCACCTGGCATACATCACACCTAGCCGTTGTTACATTGCTTCGGCAACGTACGTCACCTCAAAACATAAAGCCAAATGCCCAAGTGACCAGTGGCAGTTTCTAGTAGCCAGAGATTCGTTTGCCTACGTTGCAAAGTGTTCTCGTGCAGCGGTGTCACAATATGTTTGCTCTGGGCAGCATCCGTGTCAAAACATGCAGCGCTGCAAGTTTGACAGATCACGTGGCTACTAGCTTCTGCCGTGTGATCGAGGGCGTTTCAACCTGATCTCGTAGATCTCGCTGTTAGTACCTGATTTCGCTGGCTACAATTTTCACCTACCGAGCACGCCGACGACAAATCGCCCGATGCTGTCACTTATGGGTAAAGCACGCTGACGACACCATCATGCACTGGCGTGCTAGTGCTCGTCACCGCTGGGTCACCCATCCCATTGTTATGAGTCTCTCTGCGAGACGAAAAACGTGAAGCCGTAAGGAAAGTATGCAGACCCAGACAGGCTACTAGTCCTCAGCAATGGAACTTGTCCAGCAGTAAGTGCTTTTGCAGTCTTTTTCCTGCATCTCGCTCGTTGCTGACGGACTTGATGTCGTCTAGGAAACGCGTACAGTTCGCTATCCTTGTTTCCGTCTTCTTCTTCTCCTATCGTCTTCACCACAGACTTGCTTCAACCATGGTTTGCCACAACCATACAACGCACTACCAGATGCGTCCGACTCGTACACCGCAATGAAGAGCGACCGCAACAGCGCTGTGCCTCTCACAGTGGTGGCATTGTACAACGAGCGAGCTCTAAACTCCAACGAACGTCGGTTTAAGTGCCAAAGCCTTTCCAATCGATAACGCGAATGCGCCACAGAAAGCGCGTAGAGTGTCTGCGTAGCAAGGGATGGAATGGATAGAACAACTCGCTCAAGGGGACGTCACTGCCTCCATAGACGCCCCCCACCCGTCTATCAATCCTTTCGCCGCCAGTCCACTGAACGTGGGGCCTTCGCCGAGGTCATCCCGATCAGTGGAATCTTCAGCGCTCGTCAATTGTGGGGCGGTCCACTTGTTGCTTTACCTTCAAGCTCGTGGCCCATTGTCCTCATCGTTAGGGTATTCCGGTGCAACAGCTGCGCATGCACAACGTACGCGACGCTGTCGTCCTCGTTCGACAGCTGCCGCACAGTTACGTTTCCAGAGATCGTCTGCGTAACTAGCGACGGTAGAGGGTCGATGGGCGGTGCGCAGCCGGTCCGACGAGAGCTGTCACGGGAACTGGCTGTTGGATGGAAGAGGAGGACGTGGCACACAGGACGAGCTCATCGATGACGACTTGACAGCAGGAAGACATGATGAACAGTTTGCACGCTGTCGACCCCTCGTCGGCATCCGAAGATGCCCTCAACGACACACTGGAAGATAGCGACTCTGTTACAAGCTGTCAAAGCTGTCGAACACGTACGTGCGTACGTAATCGATCGTGTCGCACGGTGCCCTCCCCTCCCTGCTCCCCCCTGTCGTTGCCGCCCATCAAAGCCCAATCTTCCGAGCTGCATTGCAATGCTGCGGCTGGAGCGCGTAGTTGCTTTGTCCGCTGTCTTTCGCAGCATTACAAAGCGCTCGAGTGGCACTGCATCCCGACAACAAGCGAGCGACTACACGAAAACCGTAGACACGGCAAGCAGGTGGACCACCGGTTCGAGTGTGCCTCTTCCCTTCGTGCCCACATTGTCTCTGTCGTCCATCAACTCGGTCAGAGAAAGAGGAGGAGGAGGAGGAGGAGGAGGAGAGAGAGAGAGAGAGAGAGAGAGAGAGAGAGAGAGAGAGAGAGAGAGAGAGAGAGAGAGAGAGAGAGAGAGAGAGAGAGAGAGAGAGAGAGAGAGAGAGAGGCGAAGGCATTGCCGCCATGAAAAACCGTTTGTTTTCCTGAACCGGATGGTGACAGCCGTCCAACCGACTCGAGTTGGGGTTATCCGTGCCATCTGGGCCTTCAGCCCGTCACGTGGCCTCCCTCTCGTCCTGGCGCGAGTCAGCACTCGCACACGTCGGAGCAAACGGCAAGTGGCCAGCCTCTGTGCCGCCGCCACAACGCGCGCACAGTATGTTTACGCGGGAACGATCGCTTGGTCCACTCGACAGTCGCCACTGCAAGCGCCGAGCGACTCGGAGACAGTGCCCTGCACTTCGTTCATTCCGGTATTTCCCTCACCGAAGTCGCTCCCGCACGACCGATTGCTACTGCTGCTGCTGCTGTAGCGTGCCGACACTACTCCACTCCACTCCTATCCCGCACCTACACAAGCGATGGCGCCCCCGGTCGCTCGTGGCTGCTATACGAAGCGTCCGCACATGTCCTCCCATCTCACGAAGCTGTTGTTACTTGCCGTCTTTGTCGCAACCTCTTTGCCTGCTGCATTAGCTTCGTCCGTTCTTCGGAATGACAACGACAATAACAATGACGTCGAACAGCACGTTGTCCGTCGCCTCAGTGGCGGCGGCGGCGGCGACAAGAACAAAACAGTGCCGTTCAACTCGTGGGGCAACTCGATCGACACGCTGCAGTACGTCCTCGCGTTCATTGTCGTGCTCGTGGCGGCGCACCCGCTGGGGCTGTACTTCCCCCGGCTCTTCAAGCTGCCGCTCATCACCGGCTACCTCTTCATCGGGATCCTCGCGGGCCCGTTCCTCACGAACCTCATCACGCAGGACATGGTGTCGCTCCTCGCGAGCTACGTCAGCGCCCTAGCGCTCTCGTTCATTTCGTTCCAAGCCGGGCAAGAGATCTACTGGCCCGAGCTCCAGCCCCAAGTCAAAGCCATCATGACGCTGCTCGGCATCCTGTACATGACGTCCATGACCATCATGCCCGCGGCCATTATGCTCACCGAGAGCTTCTTCTTCTACAGCGAGATGGGCACGCTCTGCCAAGTGGGCATTGCGCTCATGTTCGGCTCCATCTCCGTGCTCGGCTCGCCGGCCACGGTCATGGCCATCAAGATCGAGCTCAACAGCGTCGGCCCGTTCACGAGTCTCATGCTGGGCGCCACGATGATCGCCGAGTTCGTCGTGCTCATCTCGTTCTCCATTGCCCGCATCGTGTGCTCCACGTACTGCGCCAAGCTCAACGTGTCGTTCCTCAACCTCATGTACATTATGGGCATCGTCGCGTCCAACGTCCTGGTCGGCGTGCTCCTGGGCGGCCTCACGATCCTCATCTTCAAGATCCCGGGCGGAGAAGCGCACCATGACGAGCACAGCGACCACGACGACGCAGCATACTTGAACCAGCACACTGGGGACAAAGGCGCGTTGGCGAACCCCAACATGGACCCGAGCGCCAGGGACGACCCTCGCAACGGGCACCACGACGACGCCTTCTTGTCCCCGCAAGCCGCGCTGGGCCTCAAGGGCTTCATTTGGCTCACCATGGGCTACCTCTTCTACGTCTCGACGGCCGTCCTGGCCGAAGCCACGGCCGTAGCCTTTGGGCTGTCGTGGGAGATCAAGTTCGAAGCACTGCTCGTGCTCATGATCGCCTCGTGCGTCGCGGGGCACTACGAGCCCATTCGCCACGACATGCACACGATCCTCGACACGACGGCGCCGTACATGTTCTTGCCGTTCTTTGTCATGACGGGCGCTGCGCTGAAGCTCGACCAGGTGCTGGCCGCCGTGCCGCTCATGACCGTGTACGTCATCCTGCGGTACGTCTCGATCTTCCTCGCCTGCTTCTTCGGCGGCCGCCACATCCTCAAGCTCACGCCCATGCAGTACAACAACCTGTGGCTCACCATGACGCCCCAGGCCGGTGTCGCCTTGGGGCTGGCCAACGAAGTGAAGGCCATGAGCGACGAGCCCTGGGCCTCGGAGTTCGCTGCGACGGTCGTGGCGGCCGTCGTCGTGAACCAGATCATTGGGCCTGTGCTGTGCGCCATGGGCTTGAGTCGCGCAGGTGAGACGCTGAAGGACCGCATGCTACAGCCCGAAGATGCGGCGAAAGACGAGATGGAACCCATGGACAAGAGTTTCCAGGCCGGCCGCTTCAGCAAAGTAAACGTTGGCGGCGGCGGCCTCGGCCACAGTATGTGCGGCGGCGGCGGCGGCTTTGCCAACAGTATGGCCGGCGGGTTCGCGCGCGGGAGTTTGTTTGACATGGGTCGGATCTCCATGTCGGGCACGAAGCGATGCAACGGCGACCCGCGGTCGCTTTTGCCGTTCACAAAGGTGCAGAACGCAGTGGTCATTGGCGACGACGAAGTGGCGTTTGAAGTGGCGCTCGAGCTCTCGCTCTACGGCGCGCGGGTCAACGTGCCGCTCTTGGACCAGGAACGCACGAGCAAGTGGCAAAAGATGAACGAAGCGATTCTGCACCGCGCGGCCAAAGGTGACCTCATCTCGTACAAGAACACGCTCAAGGACCGAGACAGTGCGCAGGCCATGTCCGCGGCCGACGTGCTCATTTTCACCGGCGACTCGAACCGCACGCGTGAGAACGTGCAGATGCTCAAGTCGCTGCTCGGGGAGTCGCACCCGCGCATGATTGCGTTCGTGCCGGACTGCAAGTTCAGCAAAGAGATGAAGGCGCTTGGGGTGCTGGTGATCCAGCCGTCGATCGCATTGGCGAACATTGCCACGCGCATGGCGCTCCTCGACGCCAAGTTGGCCGAAGCGCTCTCGAACGAGATCAGTACGACCAGCGACTTTAGCACGGCGTCGTACTTCTTGGGGGGCGCCGGGGGCGATTTGACCGACTTGCGTCTGGACGGCCGTCGCATGGCTTTGGGCCGCAATGTGGTAAGTCACCACTCGGTGGACTATGACCGACTGGCCGAAGCGCTCACGAGCGAGAACCTGCCGCTACCGCCGCCGCCGTCGCGCGTGTCGATGTTTGGTACGTCTTCGGCCGCCGGGTTCGACCCGTTTCGACGCGACAAGAACCGGTCCAACTTCTTCGTCATGCACGACGAACACGACGATACGGACGAGATCATCGTGGACGCTCAGAATGGACCGTACTCGACACGTGGCCAAGGCGCGCGGCTCAGTGTGCATCGACCATCAATGCAATTGGGCGGCAGTCGCGTGCGAGGAGGTCAGGTCGCTCGGGGCAGGCGCACGCCGGGCTCGGCAAGGACGGAGTACTAAGAAGCTCAGCGGAACGAACGCTGACTGACTACAGACAGCATCATGAAACAGTGGCTGGCGAATGCGGTTTGGACTTGTTACCGCAAGTACGACGTGGAGGGAACGTCCGAGCTCTGTGGAGCTGCAGAGAGCCTCTTCTTGATCGAAGGGTACGAGAGCACTGGAGTCCGTACCAAGTGACAAGTTGCAAGCACGGAGCGCTATGCCGTAAGCTTTGGCGTATCTTAATGTGCACACGATTGTTTGATAGAATACATCTTGTCTTGTCTTCACCGCGATCTCTCTCTCTCTCTCGTTCTCTTTCACTGTCGCTGCGTCACGCTTGCAAGACTCAGCGCGTCAAACATGCAATTACTTGGCTCACCTCGCGCAATGATAGCTGTTACTTATCGGCATGGCAAACCTAGGTCTTTCGAGGAGATCTGGATGTTCCGCACACCGGAGTATAATTACTTGCCGAACGGACGGCACTGTTGTACCAATCTCGACGTACGGCAGTCGGATATACCCTTTAGCAGCTGCAACGACCGTGGTCGGCTTCTGGTCTACCGGATCCAGCTGACACATTGCAACGGTACTTGGTCGAACGTGAGAGCTTAGCATTAAGTTTAAGTAATTTGACCACACTGAAGGAAAAGGTAGTAAGGCTTTTACGACCACTGCCTCTCTGCTCCCGTGCGACAATGCCGGATGAGAAAGTCTTTTGGCTTACGTACGCGTGGACCAACAACTCTTGGCTTTTCAAAGCGCCGAGGGGACTTCTTGACAGCCAGGAAATATGACAAGAATTCGCCATGCACCATTGTAGACCTGGAAATGCAGAGTGAGTGAGAAAGTGAGGTATAGTTAGGTACGCGTACGACCTGCTATATCCTGTCAACCGGCAACAAGGTTATGTGGGTGACTGCTACTTTATGTACTAGGTAGCACTTGGTCTCGGACAGCAGAGAGCCTGCGCGCAGCCTCCTGTCTCGAGATGATCAGGTTCCTCGTTGTCAGTCCGGGGCCCTGTAGTGAGTGCTGTTCGACCTGAGAGGTCTCCAACCAATGATTGACATTAGAATCAAGGAAGGCCGTAGCCTCCTAAACTAAACCGGGGTTGAAAGTAGCGTGCGGTTGAACCGAAGCTCCTGTTTCCATGGCGATATTCGCAAGTTGATCCGCCATTTTGTTGCTAGTGCGATAATGATGTCCGCAGCAGAAGACATTGAAATTGTTAGCTTAGACGCTTGCCTCAGTGAATAACCGCACCAAGTGCTGCTTCTGCGGAGGAGCTCGTCTTTGGAGTTGCGCAAGCACAAGGGCACTGTCCCCGATGACATGCAGGGGTGAGTAGTCGTTGGTCTTTGCTTGCCGAAGACCTTGGATGAGATCCAAGTATTCAGCTATATTGTTAGTGGTATCGGCAGAGCCATAGGCCATGTTCGATGCCGAAAAAAACGCATGCAGCGTGCGTCGGGACGTGGAGACGGACAATTACAGATCTAGATCCGCCTGGACCTAGATGTACGCGGAATCCTCCATCGAAAAAAGGAGTGATAGCGCTCCTGTGTATCGTTCGATAGGCCGTACAAGCAACGAAAGAGGTCCGTTGTAGCAGAGGAGAGTATCAGCCAAGGCCGACCGTACGTGCGCAAACAGTTGCCCTTCCTCCCCCTTATCGCGCTGGTAGGTTGACCCACAAAACCTTCGAATCGACCGGCAAAAGATCGTCTTGGCACTAGCTGTGTAAACTTCTTGTGATAGAGACGAGTCTTCCATGCGGCGGAGGCACTCGATCCAGGTGGCATAAAATGTCGTTGATATGACACAACAAACAGCTCTCGAGCTGCCGGAAGGACCGCAGCCTGATCTTTTAGTATATCTGCTTCTATGTCCATAGATTGCTTGACAACAACCCATGCATTGGGCGGAATCCCCGGGAGGTCCAGTTCAAATACCCAGACATGCAGGTCATCCTCCTGGAAAGTACCAAGCAAACGTCACCGATCAAGGAGGTATATCATGTGTCCACGCGCGCTAGGGCATGTCCAAAAGAAATGTCTTGCCAGAGCTGGACCAGCATCCATACACTCAGGGATGGGGCACGACAGATCGTGCTTCGCCCAAATTCAGAGCGGGAAACTGTTACTCTTCAGCCGAAATATCGCCTAATCGTTGGTCGGAAAAAACGCACAAATAAATCGAATATCTTACACGTGATCAATGGTGAAAATTTCGATATCACGTAAAAGTCCTCCCCTTGCCCTCGTTGATCGAGAAGTATTGTTCCATCAATATAGCTTCACCAAGAGATAAGCAATTTAATTTCATTCATTGTGGCCGCCACCGTCGACGACCGGCCCATAGGTGGACAACCCGCGTGAGCATCGGAAGCGCGCCAAAATGGACAGGAGTCCTACCGTGCGAGGGCGCGGCTATATCGAACGCCACCATCGACGGGACTGGTTGCACCCCACCTTCCATGCTTGTATCGATCTGCTGGATCGATGTACCTGCACAAGTGAGAAGCAATGAATGAAATTGGTGCACCTTCGTTTCAATAAGATACTGAATACCCAGGTTCCAGCGCCCGATAGACCAGGGACGGAAAATCATTTAGAAGTGATAGATAGAAGGACCCGAAAAACCGTATCTTTGCCATAGACTGGGTCGCCATGTCAGGTGTGGAAGAGAACACGACAATATCAGTCTGCGGGGTCTTCCAAGACATTGCCTCGTCAAGGTGAGTCAAATCATGGCAATTTCGGCTTCGTTCAATGTATAAGTCGTACGCCGTTGATCTCGCAGCCATGACAGATCCTTGAGCGTGGCGTCGACTGTTGAAAATGATGGAAATGTTGGAAATGTCGGAAATGGTTGCGAGGGCACGAATAGGTGATCGGAGTGGTCGGCCAGTGACTTGATGTTTATTTGGGGATATGATGTCATAAACTTGCTGTGCGCAAATGGTGGACGCAGAGTGACAAGCAGAATAGTGTTTGTATTCAGGTAGAGTCAGAATGCGTGCGAGTTAGATGACTGGAGCAGAGGGCTTTGGGGAGCACGGCAGAGGAGAGAGAACTTGTAAGAAGCAATACATAATCTTATCGTTCACCTACTGCCTCCTACTGCAACGCATACTTGCCAATAGGTTATGAGCCTAATGGTTGGAGCGAACGAAATGACTTTCAAGACACCAGGAGGTGTTGCGCTAGGTGCGCCAGGGCGTGGTTCACCAGCGCGTGTGCACTTGTCGGCGAACACGCCGTCAGTTCTCAAAGGGACTCCCGCCCACGAAAGTGGCCAGGCGACCGATGACAAGATCCTCGCGGCCCTCACCGCAGTGACCGACTGCCTGTCGAAGCTCGAGTCTTCGCAGCGCGTCCGGGACGAAGATGAGCAGATGCTTGGAGCTGTCGAGAGCGGCATGTTTGCTTTCAAGCTTTAAGCGAACATGCGTGGACGCCCCATGACCATCGAAGCTTTTGAGGTACTGGAGGAGAAACCAGCAGCGCATCGTGCAGGCTCCCGCTGGCCAGATGACGGCGAGTTGATGTTCGCCTCTCTCGCGCCGCCTCGCGAACAGCAGTCAGCTCAACATCGCACGCCGGCGCAAGCAGCCGAGCCCATGGCCGCGCCGCGTCAAGAGGCGCCACCATCTTCAACGCACATGGCAGCAGCTATTGGCAACTACGGGATGCCGACGGCGAGCCAGCGAAAGCTCTACATTCGCATGTTTGATGGGACGGAGCTTTACAAAGGACCCGGTAGTGTTGTTTTTGACTGGGGACTTACTTTCATGCGCGATGTGAGCCTCGTTGAGGCGTCTTGCGGTTTCATGTGGACGGAGGATGTGAAGGTCGATCTCCTTGGTCATTCATTGGACGGTACTGCGGAGCGCTAATACTACAAACAGGTTAACACTTGGTGAGTACAGCAGCCAAGACTAGAGCACTTCATGGAGCAGCTGCACCTGACGTTTAAAATCACTATTACGGCGAGCCAGGCCATGAAGCTGTTGATGGCAAAAAAAGGAGCGCGACGCACCTGGGCCAAGCAATCTCTATACATGGTGGCCGTCAGCGATGCGCGCGGTGGCATTAACTCACTCGTACTCGACAACATCGTGCATCACCCGTCGCCGGAGTTGATGAACGTCATGCGGGCGAAGTAAGATCCGACGCGGGCTGACTATCTGCGCCACGCTAAAGAGCTGGCACTCTTTGTGCAGTCGTTGAGCTCAGCAGCGGCGCGGTCGGTCGCGAGGTCGTTGCGACGCATGTTGAGGCGAAGCTTCATAATTCGCGAACGTGTTTCCGATACGGCAGGATGGTTTACGTCGTATCCGAATGCAATGCAAGAGTTGTATCTGATGATGAGACAAGCAACAAAATCGGAATTGGCAACAAGGTGCTAGCGCTCACGGAGAAAACGTCCGCTGATCGTGGCGAAAGGAAAAAGAGCAAGAAGAAGAAGAAAGAAGAAGAAGAAGAAGAACTCACGCAGGAAAGAGGCCCGTGCGAGATCCGCTAGCGATAACGGGCTGGCTTCGACCTGCGCGGGCGGTTTTATGCTCGCTGCGAACAATGCGATTGGCGTTAATCGAGGCGACTGGATTCTTGACAGCGGCGCGAGCAGACACCTCGTGAGCGACGAGTTGCTGCTGATCCAACCGGCTCCCAGCGTCCACGAGATCGCCATGACAGATGGTGAGTCTCTGCGGATGACGCGTATCGGGAGTGTGCGACTCGAGGTACTAGCGCACGGTGCTAAAACGAGTGTGACTCCGACTGAAGTTTATCTTGCGCCTCGGCTGGGGAAGAATATCGTCTCATACGGGAGGCTGGAGAGTAAAGGCTTCGCTTTCGTTTACGACGGCGGCAAAAGCGCACTAGCGCGGCGCAGCGACGGTGCATCACGTTTGACGTCGCGATCGACAGCAACGTGCTGACGTTGAGACGACAGCGACACACGGGAGTCACAGCGCTGAAGATGCGATCATGTCCGCGCTCAAAGCA